GTTGTGGCTGACGACCGCCTGATCAGTCTGAAGCTCTCCCAGACTGTTGCAGCTAACGGCTGCGCTCTCAGATGCAAGCCCCTGGGTTCTATGTTGTGAAAAACGTCTCCGAGCGCGGGCGCGCGCCCTGAAGCGCCCCAACATCGCCGCGATGCCGTCTCCAGGAAGGGGCGCACTTTCGCGCGCATGTCCGGCCTCGTCCGCGAAGCTGCCCCGGGGCCCGGGGCTCTGATAGGAGCGAGGAGTGCTATGGGGGCCCGCCTGCCGGTCTCCAGGAAGGGCGGGGGCCGACGCGCTGTGGCCGACGACCGCGCGCTCGGTTTGTTGCGCCACCGGGGGGCCGCTGCAGCTGAAGGCTGCACTTTCGGAAACAAAATCGTGACTGTCAGAATTTTGAAGAACGTCTCCGAGCGCGGGCGCGCCCTATCCAGCGCCCCGGGCACCCCCAACCATCGCCGCGATACTGCCTCCAGGAGGGGGCGCGCTTTCGAGCGCATTTCCGGCCTCCTCCGCGAACGTGCCCCAGGGGCGCCGACGGGGGCGAGGGGCGCTATGGGGGCCCGCCTGCTGGTCTCCAGGGGGGGGGGGGGGGGCGACGCGCTGTGGCAAACGACCGCCCGATCAGTCTCGCACTTTCGGATGCAAATTCCTGAATGTCTGAATTGGGAGGAACGTCTCCGAGCGCGGGCGCGACCTCTGCCGCGCCCCCAGTCATCGCCGCGATGCTGTCTCCAGGAGGGGGCGCGCTTTCGACGGCATTCCTGGGTTCCCCCGCGAACGCGCCCCAGGGGCGCCGATGGGGGCGAGGGGCGCCGCGGGGTCCGCCTGCCGGTCTCCAGGGGGGGGGAAGTAGATGCGCGGTGGCGGACAACCGCGCGCTCGGTCTGTGGCGCCCCCAGAGGACCGTTGCAGCTGAAGGCTGCACTTGCGGAAACAAACTCGTGACTGTCTGAATTTCGAGGATCGTCTCCGAGCGCGGGCGCGCCCTCTGGAGGGGCGTCTCCGAGCGCGGGCGCGCCCTCAGCAGCGCCCCCAGTTGTCCCCGCGGCAATATTTCCAGGAGGGGGCGCGCTTCGGGTCGCATCTGCAGCCCCCCCCACCGACGCTGCCCCAATGACGCTGATGGGAGCGAGGAGCAGCGAGGAGGGCGATCCGCCAATGACGAGGAGGGGGAGGGGCCGGCACGCCGTGGCAGACAACCGCATGTTCAGTCTGAAACTCCCCCAGAGGACCGTTGCAGCTGAAGGCCGCACTTTCGGATGCAAGCCCCTGGCTATCTACTTTGCGAGGAACGTCTCCGAGCACGGGCGCGCCCTCTGCAGCGCTGCCAACTATCGCCGCGATGCTGTCTCCAGGAGGGGGCGCTTTCCTTTTGCAGCTGAAGGCCGCGCTTTCGGATGCATCTCCCTGGCCGTCAGAAGTGTGAGGAACGTCTCCGAGCGCGGGCGCGCCCTCTGCAGCGCCCCCAACTATCGCCGCGGCAGTGTCTCCAGGAGGGGGCGCGCTTCGGGTCGCATCCCTGTCTCCGCAACGACGCTGCCCCAGGGGCGCTGATAGGAGTGAAGGGCACTAATTGTTGGGGCCCGCCGGCCTGCCTCCAGGAGAGGGAGGAATCGGCGCGCTGCGGCTGGCGACACCCTGTTCGGTCTGGAGTTCTCTTTGCGGACTGTTGCAGCAGACGGCCGCGCTTTCGGAAACAAAATCCCGACTGTCAGAATTGCGAGGGGCGTCTCCGAGCGCGGGCGCGCCCGCTGCAGCGCCCCCACCGCCGCGGCGCTGTCTCCAGGAGGGGGCGAGTTTCGGGTCGCAGCTTCCGTCTCCGCAACGACACTGCCCCGACGGCGCTGACCAGAAAGAGGAGCAGCAGGGATGACGGCCTGCCTATTTCGAGGAAAGGGTGGGACTGGCGCGATGTTGGCAGACGAAGCCATGTTCGGTCTGGAGTTTTCTCTTTGCGGACAGTTGCAGCTGACGGCCGCGCTTTCGGAAACAAACTCTTGACTGCCCAATTTGTGAGGAACGTCTTCGAGCGCGCGCTCGCCCCCTGCAGCAAGCCGAACTGTCGCCACGTTCCCAGAAAAGGGGCGCGCTGTCGGGCGCATCGTCGGCCTCCGCGAAGACACTGGACCTGGGGCGCTGATAGGAGTGAGTAGCTGGAGGGGCGCCTGTTTGCCTGCCTCCAGGAGAGGGAAGGACCGACCCGCTGTGGCTGACGACCGCCTGTTCTGTCTTAGCTCTCCATGGCGCCTGCTGCAGCTAACGGCCGCACGGTGAAATACGAAGTCCAGGATATCCGCAAATCGGCGATTGTTTGCAAGCGAAACGCCACCTTCAAATTTGCAACGGTCGTCGAGCGAAGCGCCAACCTCAGATGTGTGACTGTCTCCAAGCGAGTCCGCTCTGTGCCCAGGAAGCGCGCTCGCAACGGCGTCCGCCGCGCGCCTAGCAGCCCGGGCTAGATCCACGACGGCCGTCCAGAGGGAGGCCTGCGAAGCCCTCGCGGCGGCAGCAGCGCAGGCAACGACGGCGGCAGCGGCAGCTGCGTCGGGCGCAACGCAGGAGGCCGCGGCGGCGGCCGTGGCGGCGAGCGCGGCGAGCAGAGAAGGGGGCGGCGGAGTCGGGGGCGCACGGGGCCGCCACCAGGCCACCCGGTCAGCCGGCGCCGGCGGCGCTGGCACCGGCAGCGGCCCAGCGCCGCCCGCGGGGGCCGCGCAGGGGCGGCCGCCGGCCGCCGCGGCAGCGCCAGCCGCCGCGGCGGGGGCAGCCAAAGCGGCGGCGGCAACCGCCGCGAGGGGGCAGTAAGAGCGGCCACCACGCCGGCGGCGTCGGCGGCCTAGCTGGCACCAGCCACCGCGGCCGCGGCGTCGGCCGCCGCGCGAGCGGCCGCAGCAGCGGCGGCGGCGCCAGCGGCCGCGGCAGCGGCGCGAGCAGCGGCCGGCCCAAGGGCGGCCGCGCAGGCCACGGCGGCCGCAGCGCCAGGCGAGCAGCGGGCGGCGGCGGCGGCAGCCGCGTCAGAGGCGGCCGCGGCGCAGCGGGCGGCGGGGGGCCAGCGCCCGCGGGCCGCGGCGGCCGGCGGCCGCGGCGGGGAAGGCGGCCGGCCACGCGGAGCCCGGGGCCGTGGCCGTGCGGCGCGCGGTTCCGGCGGCGCGGGTGGTGGCCGGGGGCAGCGGCAGGCAGGGCGGCGGCGCCGCGGCGCCGGCCAGAGCCACGCCACGGGCGCGAACGGCGGCCGCACGACGAAGCCGCCGACGCCGCGCCGTGGACGCCTCGGCGCCGCCGCCACGCGGGCAGCGCGAGCGGCGCCGCCGCCGCAAGGGACAACATCGCCCGGGGGCAGCGGCCGAGAGGGAAGGGAGACGAGACCCCCCCATCCAAGCCGCCGCCGGAGGCCCGCGGGCCCGCCAGGCCGCGGGACCCAGGCCGCGCAAGCCACCTCGAACCGGAACGCGAAGCGTGATTTTTTTTCGCATTCCTGCTACACTTCTTCTTAAAGTTCCCTAGTCTTGGTCCTGTGCCTATTCATATGCCAATTTCGATTATTGTGCCGATCCTCCTCCTGTTACTATCACTACTACCACTACTATTACGATTGCGATCACCATTCTTATATTTTTTGAACATCACTATCAATATGGGCAAGTGTTTGCACGACAAGTTGCTTGGCACGACTTGATATTTAATACCCGTGTTGGTCACACGACTGGTATGAACATCCTGTGTCTTCCTTTTTGCCTCCATCGTAATTCCCCACGCAGGGTTTGCACTCAGGGGTTCTTGCGTCTCTTCTAAGGAGTTGGCCTTGGCGGCTAGGTGGCCGCCGTCGCCGCCCTGTCACCGCCTCATCGCCGCTCGTCGTCGGGGCCTAACGGTCGGTCTGGCGGCTAGGTGACCGCCGTCACTGCCCCGTCGTCGCCTCGCCGCCGCCCGTCGTCTGGGCTTGGCTGCCGGTCTTGCGGCTCCGTGGTCGCCGTCGCCACCCCGTCGCCGCCTCGGTGCCGCCCCGTCGCCGCCTAGATTTCGCAATACATACTCCCTTGTTCTAGATCGTTTCAACTTTAAAGAAATCGACCCCCCACCACGGAATTATCAATGATCTGTTCCCCCTGGGGCATGGATGATACGATTTCCACATGGTTCTGCGCCATCCTTCATCTTACATACGAACTCACACCATCCCAGCCAAATCCCTGATCGGCCCCCCATCCATCCATGTCATGTAACAATGCGCGCGCTCGATCATCAGCAGCCAACCATGTTCAATAATCCAATACAACGAGTGAGGCAAAAAGTACACACGCGCGCGGCGTCGCGCGCGCATGCCAGAATCCTCGAAACAAGAACATCGGCGCTGCAAGGATTTTGAGATCGAGGCGTGACCAACATCGGCGCCGTCATGGGTTTTTCCGTCGTCGTCGCTATCATCATCACCATCACCGTTACTATCATCACCGTGTCCACCTGTGTAGGGCGACCGAATCTATACATATCCACTGCTCCCTGGCCAGGCACACCGTGAACCCAGCAGCAGTGTATACGCCACACCCTCCTGGCTGGGCCAGGAGGGCGTATACACAGCTCCTGGGTTCAGAGTTGGCCTGGCCAGGGAGCAGTGGATATGTATAAATTTCGTCGCCCGACTATGTCGACGTCACCATGATACCGCGCCCGACCGAATCACCGACTCGCACTGAAGTGCCCGTGCGTCAGCGGGTCGACCCCCGGAGGCCCCCCAAAAGAGACAACCCGAACGCTTTCCCAAACACCTTGATCCAAACTCGACCCTCAATAATCTCCCCCCCCCCCCTCTAGAGGAAACAGAACTATGCACATACACCGATTCTGGCCAGGCCCATCCTGAGCCCAGGATCGGTGCATATGCCCTCCTACCTTGGCCAGGAAGGCATATGCACCGATCATGGGTCAAGGATGGGCCTTGCCAGGATCGGTGCATGTGCATAATTCTCTTCGCCCGACCCCTCCTCCGTGCGCAGCGTGGGGGCCACGGTCTGCGTCCGAGTGGGCACCAGCGTGGGCGCAGACATCCTCGTTCCTGCACGGGCACGGGAGGCGCGCGGCGGTGCTTCCTGGTCCTGCTGCTGTGGCTCCTCCGCCTCCCCTCCGCCTCGTCCGCCTCCTCATCCAAATCCTCCTCCTCCTCTTCCTCATCCTCCTCCTCTTCCTCCTCCTCCTCCTTCCCGTCTTTCTCCTCCACCGCCTCTTTCTCCTCCTATGCCTCCTTCTCCTTTTCCTCCTCCTCCGCCTCCGCCCCGCCTCCTCCCCGCCTCCTCCAGTTCCTCCTCCTGTTCCTCCTCCTATCCTCTTTTTCCTCCTCCTCCTCATACTCCTCTTCCGACTCCTCCGCCCGTTCTGTATCCACATTCCGCTCCGCCGCCTCCTCATGCGCCTCCGCGTCCGTTTCCTCGTCCTCTTCGTCCCTTCGTCCCCTTCGTCCTCTTCGTCCTCTTCGTCCTCTTCGACCTCTTCGTCGTCCTCCTCCGCCTTATCCTCCTCTTCCTCCTGTTGCTGCTGCTGCTCCTCCTCCTCCTCAGCAGCAGCAGCAGCATTATCATCATCACAATGCTCCTCTTCGTCCTCCTTTATTTCCTCTTCGGTTTCCTCTTCCTCCTCCTTTTCCTCCTTCTGCTCCTCCTCCTCCTCCTCCTCCTCCTCCTCGTCATTATCAGCATCCGCAGCAGCAGCAGCAGCAGCATCATCAGCAGCAACAGCAGCATTATCATCATCAGTATAATCACCATCGTCATCATGATCATCAGCAGCAGCATCATCATCAGCATCAGCATCGGCATCATCATCATTGCCATCATCAGCATCATCATCATCACCAGCATCAGCATCAGCAGCATCAGCAGCATTATTAGCAGCATCAGCATCAGCATCAGCATCCTCATCACCATCATCATCGTCATCATCATCATCGCCATCAGCATCATCATCACGACCAGCATCGTCATCAGCAGCAGCAGCTACATCATCATCATCATCATCACCATCATCATCATAATCCGCATCATCATAATCAGCAGCAGGATCATCAGCATCATCATCATCAGCATCATCATAAGCGTCAGCATCAGCATCAGCATCATCGTCATCATCAGCATCATCAGCATCATCATCACCTCCATCAACATCAGCATCAGCACCAACAGCATCATCATCAGCATCAGCATCATCATCATAATCAACATCATCATCATCAACATCATCTCATCGTCATCATCAGCATCACCATCATCATCATCGTAATCAGCATCGCCATTGTCATCATCATCACCATCGTCATTATCAGCATCCTATCATCATCATCATCATCATCATCATCATCATCATCATCAGCATCAGCATCAGCATCATCATCAGCAGCATCATCATCATAATCAGCATCACCATCATCATTCTCGTCAGCAGCATCATCAGCAGCATCATAATCATAAGCATAATCAAACTCATCAGCATCATCGTCATCATCACCATCAGCATCTACAGCAGCATCATAATCATCAGAATCATCATCATCATCCTCATTATCACCCTCTTCCAACTCCTCCTCCTCATCACCAACAGCATGCTAATAATCATCATCATTATCATCATCATCATCATCACCAGCTTCACCAACATCACCATCATCATCATCATCATCATCATCATCATCATCATCATCCTTATCGTCAGCATCATCGTCATCATCATCGTCAGCATCATCGTCATTGTCATCGTCATCGTCATTGTCATCCACATCCTCATCCTCATCCGTATCCTCATCCTCGTCCTCATCCTCCTCCTCATCTTCATCCTCCTCATCATCACCATCACTTTAGCCATCAACATCACCAAAACAATCACCATCAAAATCACAATCTCCATCACCATCACAATGACCACCAACTCCGCCATCCTTATCCTTATCCTCCTCCTCATCCTCTCCTGCCGCTGCTGTGTCTACTCCGAATCCCCCTTCCGCTTTCCTCCTCATCATCGCCACAGGCATGTCACCCATCACCGTCGATATTGCCATCACCATCACGATCTCTTCCTTCTCGTCCACCCCGATCCCCTCAACCCTGCTTTCTTCTTGCCCTGGCAATCCTTCCGTTTCCCCCCAGCCCATTTTCCGGCTCACTGCTCCACGATCCGGCCTCCTCCACGCCCCACCGACCTCCCTGTTCCTACCCCCTCCCCTCGTCCCCCCTCTCAAGCCACAGGGGCTCAAGCGCCCTTGACGCCTCCTCTCCCAGGGCTTGATGCCCGCCTGATGGCAGCTGCCGAACTGCAGTTTGAGGACGCGGCGCGACAAGAAGAGCGGCGCAACACCGGGTTCAACGTGGCTCCCTCGGTGCGACTGCGCTTTATTTTCACCAGGGTGGGGATCACATTTTGTTCGAGTGGCCCTGGGCGCCACCGCATCCCCACCAGCTCGAGGCAAGTGGAATTGAACCCGAAGAGCTGCGGAACAGAACCTCCACTAGACACGACAGACGCAAAGAGGAGGGGGAGGAGAAGAAACAACACAACGGCGGGACTACTTTTCGTGGGTTGGCCACGAGAAGAACGGGACCCATCGCACGGTTTAAAGCGCAGAAATCATATGTGGCATCTGTTTCGGTACCAAGCGACGTGGAGGCCCCGCTTGAATTTGACAATGTGACAACTGGCATGTGCGCATTCGGCACGTGCTCGTGTACATGTAGGCGCACAAGAGGGGTGGGGAGGGGGTTGGGGGGGGGGAAGCGGGGGAAGAGGGGAGAAGCAGGAGCAGGATGGAGTAGGGAGCTGGAAAGGAGGGAGGAGGAGGAGGAAGAGGAGGAGGAGGAGGAGGAAAGGGAGGAGGTGGCGGAGGACGAGGAGGAGGAGGAGGAGGAGGAGGAGGAGGAGGAGGAGGAAGGAGGAGGAGGAGGAGAGGAGGAGGAGGAGGAGGAGGAGGAGGAGGAGGAGGAAGGAGGAAGAGGAGGAGGAGGAGGAGGAGGGAGGCCAGGGAGGGAAAAATAGGGAGGAGGAGGAGGACGAGGAGGAGGAGGAGGAGGAGGAGGAGGAGAAGGAGAGGGAGGAGGAAGAGGAGGAGGAGGAGGAGGAGAAGGAGGAGGAGGAGGATAAGGAGGAGGAGGGGAAGGGAGGCTGGAGAGGGAAAAAGGAGGACGAATACGGAGGAGGAGGGGGAGGAGGAGGAGGAGGAGGAGGAGGAGGAGGAGGAGGAGGAGGAGGAGGAGGAGACGGAGGAGGAGGACCAGACTAAACCCAAAATGGGTCAACGATGCTGCACCACGCCCGCCCGCCCCAAGTCTCCTCGCGTCATACGTCCTTACAAGACTTTCCTTTTCACTGGGGGCAGTGCCCGCCTGAGAGACGAGCGCCCCATGGGCCCCGCCATTCGGGCGCCGTTGTGTGCATCGCCTTCGGTGGATCCTGGGGCCACGAAGCGTGCAACGGGTGTGCCGAAAAGGGGGCGGGGGCACCATGCGGGCGCTGCCACTGGAGCCTTAGGTGTAATCCCCCCTCCCCCAATGGAGCCACGAAGCGTGTGAGGGGTGTGTCGAAGTGGAGCGGGGCCGCCGTGCGAACGTCGCCACTGGTGGTTTCGGTGGAACTCCCGCTGGGGCCACGACGCGCTTGAGGGGTGTGCCGAAATGGGTGGACGGGGGGTACGCGTGCGAACGTCGCCACTTGGGTTTTCGGTGGAGCTCCCTATGGGGCCACGAAGCGTGCGAGGGGGTGCCGAATTTGGGGACGGGGACGCATGCGAACGTCGCCAGTGGGGCTTTAGGTGGAGCGCCCTATGGGGCCACGAAGCGCTGTACTGTGCGGGGCCGACGTATGCGAGCGTTGCCACTGGGGCCTTCGGTGGAGCTCCTTGCGGGACCACGAAACGCTGTACTGGGTGTGGCGGACGCATGCGAACGTCGTCATTGTGGCCTTAGGTGGAGCGCCCAGTGGGGCCACGAAGCGCTGTACTGTGCGGGGCGGACGTATGCGAGCGTTGCCACTGGGGCCTTCGGTGGAGCCCCTTGCGGGACCACGGGAAGCTGTGCTGCGTGAGACGGACGCATGTGAAGGTCGCCACTGATTCATTCAGTGGATCCCTTTTGTGGGACAACGAAGCGCTGTATAGGGCGGGACGGACGCATGCGAACGTCGCCAGGGGGGCCCGTCGATAGGGGACCCCAGTGTACCCACGAAACGCTGTATTGTGCGGGGGGAGGACGCATGCGAACGTCGCCACTGGGGCCTTCGGTGGAGTTCACTCTGGGCGGGACGGACGCATGCGAACGTCACAATTGGGGCATTCGGTGGGGCTCCTTTTGGGCCCAAGCAGCGGTGTGCTGGGTGGGATAAGCATGCGAATGCCGCTTTTTTGGTCTTCGGTGAAATTCCTTATGGTGCCACGAAGCGCTGCACTGGGAGGGACGGGCGCATGCGAACGTCGCCACTACTGCTGAGGGCGGAGCTCCCTATGGGGCCACAAAGCGCCGCCCTGTGTGGGGCGGACGCATGCGAACGTCGCCACCGGGGCTGGAACTCCCCACGGAGCCACGAAACGCTGTACTGGCGGCGCGGACGCATGCGAACGCCGCCGCTGGGGCCTTCGGTGGAGCTCCCTGCGGGGCCCCTGAACGCTGTACCGGGCGGGGCGGACGCATGCGAACGTCGCCACTGGGGCCTTCGATGGAACTCCGTGCGAAGCCTCTAAACGCTGCACTGGGCGGGGCGGGCGCATCCGAACGTCGCCACTGGGGCCTTCGGTGGAGCTCCCTGCGGGGCCACGAAGCGTGTGAGGGGCGTGCCAAACTGGTTGATCTTCGGAGAGCAGGGGCACGCAGGCCGGGGGGGAGGGAGGAGGAAGAAAAGCAGACGTGGAACCATGGGGAACAGAGAAGAAGCGAACCCGCGCGAGAGGACTGCTTCACACAAGAGTACTGCCTCATCGCAAAACGGGCCGTCGACCGCCCCCACACGGGGAGACCCCCCTCATCACGCGCATGGGAGGCCGCTCGCTCATCGGCGAGGATCTCACGCAACACGATCGAAATACAT